GCGCCGCCGCCCCTCCGCGTGGCCCCCACCCCCACCTGGCCACTCACAAACTTAGGGGCGAACTTGGAGGAGGCCCGCCAAGTGTTGAGAGAGGGAGGGGCAGGGGTGGCCCGCCAGCGGAGCCCCTAGTTCCCGCTCCTTTTCCTTGCCTCTCCAGACATCGACTGGAACAGCCGCCCCTGCGCGCTCACTGCGCGGCCCAGCCCGGGGTGGGGAGGGGGATGGGGGACCCGGCGCGATGCCCCAACCCCCCTCCACGCCAGCGTGCTTCGGAACTGGCCAGGGGAAGGTGGCCCTGGGAGCGAAGCCATTGTAGTTCCCCAGTGTGCAGTCCAGCTTGTGTATACTGGGGTTTGAACTCAGAGTGCGAAAAGAACCGACTGAGCAAGATGTTCCAGGCCTGTGGCTAGATTTGGTCGGGACCAGAGGCCTGGGAAAAGAGGGTCTCTGCGGGGACACGAGAGATGGGGGTAGACTGGCCTAGCTATGGGCTCTAATAGGATATGAAAGGTAAAGGCAGAAGGGGACAGAAATGAGATCTGAAAGCCAGCAGTTCTAGTCAAGGGTGAAAATGAACTGGGGGATCCTAGATGAATGCTGCTATTGCCCTCCACCCATGGAAAGGTGCAGGTGGCAGAGTGGAGGCTGGAGAGTGGAAACCCCTCCAATGAAGCTAAGTGGGTTGATAGTGAAGTCACAAAAATGGGTTAACTTTTCCCAAAAAAAATCTGGGTTTCATTCCCCAAGTAACTATTAGTCAACCTTATCAGGAGGAGACCAAGAAACTTTCAGTCATTAACTTCTCTTCAGTCAGTAACCTCTTCAGATTTGTAGGAACCAAGAGAGAGTCCAGTGACCTTAAATAATATCCACATGCTTGTCTGAGGAGCTACTTGCTACAGAATTAGTACCCATCCTGGTTCCTACATGGTGTGCTAAAGAGAACCCCCTCCCCACCCCAGGTCTCTTACTTTAGCTTAGTTCTGGGACCCCTGGGAAAGAAAGAACTTTAGAGTCAGAACTCCTTGTATTCCAGCTTGCCCATATGTGATCAGTAAAGGTCTTTTATCACTCTGTGTGTGTGTGTGTGTGTGTGTGTGTGTGTGTGTGTGTGTGTGTGTGTAATGGAGTTTGAACTCAGGGCATACCTGGGTGCTATTCCTTAGCTTTTTTGCTCAAGGCTGGCATTCTACCACTTGAGCCACAACTCTACTTTTGCCTTTTTGCTGATTCATTGGAAGTAAGAGTCTGATGGACTTTCCTTCTCCAGCTGCTTTCAAACTGCAGTCCTCAGATTTCAGTCTCCTGAGTAGCCAGGATTACAGGAATGAGCCATGGATAATCTGCTCTACCCTGCCACTGACTGACTCTTGAGTTAGTGACTCATAGAGTGGCAGTGAACCTTTTAGGTTTACAATAGCATAGGTCAGAGGGGCAGGGGGGAGAGAGGAGCTGAGGGCAAAGCACAGGCCCAGGAGCCAAGGACTAAGTGGGAACCTTGGATCTGAAGAACAGCAGAGCTCTGGTGGTGAGGGAGATCCACACTAGGCCCTCAAGGCAGGGAGATGGGAAGCACCAATGGCTCCTGAGAGCAGTCAGTTTTTAACAAAGGAGAGTTTGCCTTTTAGGATTTAAGGTGAGCCCAAGCAGGGAGTGAATATCTGTTTTCTCTTGGGTAGCAGGCACATGCACATTAAAAGCCCTACAGGAATATACAGAGTATGGCTAGAGGATAGAGCTTGGAATCAGAGCCTCTGACAGGCCCCAAGACTCTGGGCAATGAAGGGTGAGATGAGGAGCAGGGCAGGAAGCAGAGAAGCTAGGGCTTGTCACTCAGTCCTTTAGTTGGGCTGGTGCAGGAAGGAGGCAGGGTAAAAAGGGAAGAAAGGGAAATCCTTCCAATGTGGTCATGAATGCAAACACTTCTCTGGGACAAGTAAACAGTCCAACCACTTCTGGGCAGCTCAGCCTGGGCACAGTCCTGACCTCAGCAGTGCCCTCCCAGGCTGGGGCCGCTCCCTTCAGTCTTGATGCCAACAGAGGCCAGCAAGATTCATGTAGCTGCAGTTTGTGCCAGGTGAGCACTGGCTTTATAGGCAGTGACTCCCTGGGCTGAGGCATTCACCTCAGCTAGACCAAGTTCACGCATAGACACCACAACTTGTTAATTTCACCCCTTCCTCGAGATCTACTCATCCCTCATGTTTGTGAGGAACAGGATCTGAATTATACCTTTATACCAATCACTTATCTTCAGTAGCTCAGATCTCAACTTATCCTTGTCCTCTGGTTCCCTCAGGACAAAGGCTGTCCCCAAGCCTCCTCTCAGTCAGAGTTTCCTGCATGGGATTCACCTTGCAGTGGCTGCTGACTAGTGGTGTCACTGGCAGGTTCCTCATCTGTCTTTGTCACCATGGCAGCCCACACCCCCAGCAGGATACTAAGCATAGGTAGAACCCGGTTCATCCCCTGCCTTGGCTTGGCTCCAGATGGACACCAGAATGGAGAAACTATAGGTCCACAGGTGCTCATAAATGACTGCTCATTGAGCAGGCAAACTAAAAAGCCCAGTACTGGCCAGGTATTTCTGGCCAGATGGCTTCCAAAAGGAGTTGGGCTTGAATGGTAAGAGGATTTTGCATGAGAGCAGAGCCTGAGAGCCTGGCCACACTAGAAGGCCTAGGCTGGGCTGCCGAGGCCTAGGTGTGGAAGGAGATGGTAGCCATATATACTGAGCAGGGCCTCCACATGTGACAATGGCGGGCCTGGATGCCATCTAGCCCCAGCCAAAGCACTCTTAACCTTGCTATGTTCCTAAGACCTCAGCAGGAATCAGCACACGCCCCAATGTGTGTTATGTCATGTTTCCTCAAGACCCAAGAAAGGTTACACAAGCTATCCCAAGGGTAGAGTCTCCATCCCACAGCCCTTAGCGACCAGAAAGGGAAGGCCAGAGCTTGTTTCTTCACTCACTCTCCTTCTGTGACAGAATGCCAGTGTGAAGACCCATGCTTGTTCAGCTGATGGGAGACAAAGTCTCCATCCTTAGGAAGTCTTAGGAAGCTTCCACCATCTGCAGGGTGGGGTAGAAGCCTGCAGGTGCAGACCCGGTAGCAGGCAGGAGGGGGAGATGTTCAGATGGAATAAAGCTTTGTGTGGCTCAGGGCCAAGTGGCCTACTGATGAAGGTAGTGCAAGTTATCCAGCCTATCAGTGTCAGGACATGGGCTATGCCTGATGGCTCAAAGAAGGTGGAGAGAGTTACCTGTAAAGGTGGCTAGGGGAAGGTCCTACATGCTGCACAGATGTAGCCTTGAGACAGAGAATGTGCCCAAAAGTTATCTGGTAAACCTTCAGGAAATGTAGTCAGGATGTGGGGAGAAGCCCATACAAGGTTCCCCCAATCAGGACTGTGCCTCATGCTCCCTTCCAGTGATCCACAGGGCTTCCCTCCCAGCTGCTGAGGCTCCATTTCTAGACTCTCAGGGTAGGATTTGACTTTGCCCTGCCCCACACTGATTTGATTTTTGTAATTCTGGGGATTCAACCCTGGGCCTTGCAATGCTATGTAAGTGCCTTACTACTGAACCCCCAACTTCAGCCCTTAAAGATTTTTTTTGTCAGTTGTGGGGCTTGAACTTAGGGCCTGGGTACTGTCCCTAAACTTTTTCACTCAAGGCTAGGGCTGTACCACTTTGAGCCACAGTGCTACTTCCTGTTTTCTGGTGGTTAATTGACAGTAAGTATCTCACTGACTTTCCTACTGTAGCTGGCTTCTAACCTCAATCCGCAGATCTCAGCCTCCTGGGTAGCTAGGGTTACAGGTGTGAACCACTGGTGCCTGGTTTTCCTTAAATATTTTTTAACTGGAATTGGCTAAAAAGACTGGTGACCCAAGCACTCCTAGGGAGTATCAGCCACAGCCTTTGGGAACATTTCTCTTGTAATAAGCCACAGCCAGTTTGCAGTAGCCTGCAACAGGCTGGCCAGGGGCAGAAGTGGTGGCAGAAGACACAGGTACCAGAAGTTCAGTGGCCTGGTTGGGAGAACTTCTTACCACAGAAAGTGCTCTAACACCAAGCAGGGCAACATCCTGCAATCCAGAGCAGGGCAGGTCCAGGTACCTAGTGACCCCATTCCAGTCTAGGGAGTTTAATGTGCTTCCCTCTGAGGCAGGGAGGCAAGGTCCTGACCTCTTGCCATTCAGCCTAGGAAAAGCCTGGCTCCTACATCACAGCTGTCCCCTAGGACACCCGGACACCTGTGCTCCACTACACTGAATTGTAAAGAACCCCGGCTGTGACCACAGGAAAACAGCTAGTATCTTTTGTGTAATGCTTTATTTAATTTATCAACAACACGGGATCAGAAAAACCCAGCGGTAGGGATCTCCACCACTAGAACCAGTCCCAAGTAACTTTATGCACCTTTGCTCCTTCCACCCCTGGGAGTGCCCAGTCCCTGAAGGCCCTGGCTGCTGGTGTGCTGGCAGCTGTAGCTGCTCACCAGCCAATCTGTTCACAGAAAGAAGGGCTTTGACCCCTGTCACCTGGGCTGCCAGCTCCCAGGATCTTTTGGAGAAGAGACCTTCTCAGCCTAGTAGGGACCAGATCCAGGGAGGGAGAAGGCCAAGACAGCTGGTGACACAAGTCCTCTCAGGCTGTGAGGACGACAGGTCTGGTCACTCCCTCAAAGGACCAAAACCTTTCAGGAACATTTCCCATTATAACACAATTCACAGCCAGAGTCAGCAACAGTCCTCATATGCAAGGTAGTCAAGGGCTGGAGTGAAGAAAGGGTGCCAGGAATGATAAGCCCCAAGGGCCTGAGGAAGGACCACCCACTATCCCAGATTCAGATGCTTTGGCCCAGGCCTCATTGGCCTGGCTACCCACAAAACCCCTGCCACCCCTCCCCAATGCCAGGCACCAGAACCCTAGTCCTCGCTGGAGTTGTCAAACTCCTCCCAGTCTGACACACTCATCACTTCAGAGGCGAAGTCTGCATCACCCTGGCTGCGGTCAGGGGTCCCGCGAGGTGGCTCGCGGAGCAGGGAGCGGGGCAGAGTGAGCACGCAGGCTGCCAGGCCTGAAATGGAGTTGTCCAGCTGGGGCCCCTCCTCCCAGCAGTCCTTCTCCATGTCATAGATGTGCACGTAGCCCGTTCGGCTGCCACGGTTGTGAGAGCGGCCACCCAGCACGTAGATCCTGTTGTCCAGCACGGCAATGCCAGGCTCGCCGTGCCCAGCCGGAAGTGGGCAGACGGATGACCACTGCCCAGATGTGCAGCTATAACAGGCCACCTGCAAAGTCAAGGCCAGCGTCAACTGGGCACTAGCTGGGACAGGCTACCAGTCCCCACTTCTGTCCAGGCAGCCTTAGTTACCCACCAGTCTCTGACAGTCTACTAGAAGACTAGCATGGGGCCAGAGTTGAGACCATTGCAGAGAAGGGACCTACTGTAGCCCCCACTTGGAGCAGCACGACTGGCATTCAGGCATAGCCTTCCTCCAGCCTACCCAGCCCAACAGCAGCCTCTTGCTCCCATGCGTGGGGACATTTCCTTCCAACACATTCTGAAGGACCAGCTTCTCCCCAGTCCACAGGAGGGTACAGAGCCCACTGTTCACCACCCCCTCCCCCCTGTACTCATCACCAGTAGGGTACATGTGGAAATAGTTACTTGCTGACGAATCATGACCATCAACCTTCTCTTTTCTTCAAAATTCTCCCAAACTGTAAACAAAGACTTGGAAAAATGTTCGACCTACTTGCAAGACCAAAATGTCAACCATTAACTAGCAACCACTAGGAGAAGAAAAACATCACAAAACCCAATGCTGGTGGGCAGTGATAAAGCCACATTACTTTGTGACATGGAAAGAAAGGAACTTGCCAATATGTATTAAGACAAATCTGGTGTGGTACACAGCTGTAATCCAGTACTCTGGAGGTAGAGGCAGGAGGTCATGAGTTCAAGGTCAACATAGGCAAGACCTTGTCCTCCACAAAAAGCTAGAGGTACAGCCCAGCAGTAGAGTACCTGCCTAGAATCTGTGGATATTACCTTACATGGAAAAAGTGACTTTGCAGGTGGGATTAGGATATGGATCTTGAAGTTGTCCCATTTATTTAGAGTCCCTGGTTTATGATGTTTTTGTTTTGTTTTTTGTTTTTTTGTCGGTTGTGGGGCTTGAACTCTGGGCCTGGGCGCTGTCCCTGAGCTCTTAAGCTCAAGGCGAGCACTCTACCACTTGAGCTACAGTGCCACTTCCAGTTTTCTAGTGGTTTATTGGAGATAGGAGTCTCAGGGTCTTTCCTGCCGGGGCTGGCTTTGAACCGTGATCCTCAGATCTCAGCCTCCTGAGTAGCTAGGATTATAGGCATGAGCCACAAGCACCCGGCTTATGATAGTTTTGGCCTACAAATTTTCAGCTTTTGGATGATTTAAAGATGATAATATGTTCAAAAGAAACAGTACCATTACTGGGGCTTAAATTCATAGCCTCATATCTTCTGCTTAGCTTTTTTACTCACAGCTGGTGCTGTACCACTTGAGCTACATCTCCACTTCTGGCTTTCTTTTTAAAGGTTAATGGGCATTAAAATCTCTCTGATTTGGGGCTGGGAAATTGGCTCAGTGGTAGAGTGCTTGCTTTGCATGCATGAGGCCCTGGGTTCGATTCCTCAGCACCACATAAAAAAAAAAGCCGGAAGTGGCGCTGTGGCTCAAGTGGTAGAGTGCTAGCCCTGAGCTGAAGAGCTCAGGGACAGCACCCAGGCCCAGAGTTCAGGCCCCATGACTGGACCCACCCCCGCCCCCAAAAAAAGAATCTCTCTGATTTATCTGTCCAGGCTGGCTTTAAGCCAAGATCCTTAGATCTCAGTCTTCTGAGTAGCTAGGAGCTGTAGTGTGAGCCACTAGAAATTTTGTGCACTGGTGGTACCTGGGATGGTCCTCTTGCAAGATGCAGGGCAGAGGGAGTGAGCTGTAGCTTCCAGTCAGCCAGTATATCTCAAGGGAATCAACCGAGATGCCAGGATACTGCTGCTAAGCTGTAAGGCTCAGTAGAATAAACAAATTTCTTTTTGATAGTATCAGGATTTGAATGAGGGTTTCACACTTGCTAGCAGGTGCTCTGCCACTTGCTTGAGCTACATCTCCAGCCCTCTGGAGAATTTTTTGAATAGGATCTCACTATTTTTGCCCAGGATGGCTTGGACTGCAATCCTATTTATGCGTCTCACCATAGCTAGATGCATACCTCCATGGTCAGCTTTTACTAGTTGAAATAGAGTCTTACAAACTTTTTTTTTTTTTTTTAAACTCAGGGCCTGGGTACTGTCCTTGTGCTTTTTTGCTCAAGGCTAGCACTTTACCACTTTGAGCCACAGCTCCACTTCTGGTTTTTATGTGGTTTTAGGTAGAGATAAGAGTCTCACAGACTTTCTGCCCAGGCTGGCTTTGAACTGTGATCCTCAGATCTCAGCCTCCTGTGTAGCTAGGATTACAGGTGTAAGCCACCAGCATCCTCTTACAAACTTCTTACCTAGAACTTCAGTCTTCCCAATTATAAGCACAGAATAGGACCCTCTTCTGTGAAATTATATTCATTCATGATGGGGATGAGGTTATATTCTGATAGTCCTATGGTAAATGGGAAATTCTCTAGCTCAAAAGTGTGTTTGACCTCGGTATGATGGTTCACTCCTATAATCCTAGCTACTTAGGAGGCTGAGATCTGGAGGATTTCAGTTCAAAGCCAGCCCAACCAGAAAAGGCCATAAGACTCCATTTCCAAAAAGGACTGAAGACATGGTTCAAACCAAGCAGGCATAAGGCCCTAAGTTCAAGTCCTAGTACTGTGAAAGAAAAAAAAAAGAAAAAGAAAAGAAAAAAGTGGAAAGGGGAAGACAGACAGAAGCAATAGGAAGTAGAGGAGCAGGGCCCTCAACCTGTTCTGGCTGGCTTTAAAGATGAAGTGGCCCTGAGTCCAGAAGTCTCAAGAAGCTGACAGCCAGCAAAGAAACCAGGACTTCTTCTTCCTACAGCCACCAGTGTACACCCTGGGTAAGGATCCTTCCTAGTGTCTCCATGAAGGAAATACAGCCTGATGACATCTTCAACCTTCATTTCAATCTGCCAAACTTAGGAAGAATAAATTTATGTGAAGTTGCTAAGTTTGTTGTGATTTGTTATGCATCAATAGGAAATTCAAAGGCTAACTCAGATTCTCACCAGGGGCAAACAATCAAACTCCAGCCCCACTCCCCAAATTTCTGAATCAATAGTCTGAGGTGGGGCCTGAGATCCTGCTTTCCTAAGAAAGCTGTTCCCAGGTAAGAGATGCTGCTGATCTGGGACCACACAATTAAAAACCATTATGTGAACCTATAGAGAGAATCTAAAATACTTGAAAAGCTCTTTAAAGCAGATATTACTCATGTGATGTGAGACTAGTCAATGCCAAATCTGATGAGGTACTCAAAGCCAGTTGGAGGGTGGGGGCATGTAGTGGTTATTTAGACTGAGCATTTGCCTGGACCAATGTCAGTGAGAGAAACATTCCAGGATGTGTTTTTTTTTTCCCTCTCTCTCTTTTGTCAGAGACCAGGACTTGAACTTGGTACCTGACAATTCTCACTCATTGGCAGGCATCACCTGAGCCATGCATGCAAGCCCTGGGATGGTCTTCTGTTTGTTTTACTGTGTAATGGAGTCTTGCTATATAGTCTAGGATGGCCTCACATTTGCGATCCTCCTGGCTCCGCTTCCCAAGGGTAGGGATCACAGGTGTGGACTACCACATCTAGCTTGGGGTGCTCTTTGAATACAAATAGGCAGAAAGTATTCATAGGTAGAAACAGAAATCCCGTGGTGCAGGAGCCCAGGTATAAGGGCTTTTCCTTAGCCTTCATTATTTTGTGTAAACCCACAGAATGTGTAAAACCAAGAGTGAGCATCACAGGCACTGTGGACTTGGGATGATAGTGTGGCAGTGAGAGTTCACTGACTGTAACATGCTCCCCCAGTAAAGACACCACAACAGGAGAGGTAGGTGTCCATGAGGTCAGGAAACACATGGCAACTCCCTGCACCTTCCACTGCATTCACGTCACCCTTAAACTGACTGGGTGGGCATCCTCAGCCCCAGCTCACCTGGTGCACGTCCCTCCTGTAGCCGGCATCATTGTTGCTGCCCCCAATCACATACAGCTTGTCAAAGAGAGTGGCCATGCCATGCCAGGCACGCCGCACAGGCCCGTCAGCCAGGGTGTGCCAGATGTTGTTGCTTGGGTCATAGCAGTGTGTTTCTTTCAAGTAGTCCTCCCCTCTGCGGCCACAGGTAATATACATTTTTCCTTGAAGCGTGGTGCCTGCATGGGCATACACCTGTGTAGAGCCACCAAGAGAGCAGGGATGGGCAAGAAGACAGCAAACAGAACAGGTGGGCAGTCCAGAGGCTGCTAATCACAATCTCAAATTCCCTGAGTACACTTTTAAAAGTTTCACCACAGGGTGTGGGGGGAAGGGGAGGGAGATGGGAAGGGACCGGAAGGGGAAACAAAGGAGGAGGCAACAATACTTGATAAGAAATGTACTCATTATCTTACTCATGTAATTGTAACCCCTCTGCATGGTATTTTCACAATAAAAAATATAAAAAAAAAAAGTTTCACCACATCTGGACTTGCTCCTCACACAATGGGGAGAATGCTCCCAGGAAATACTGTACTACTCATTAACCCAACTTCTTCCCAAGGGAGACAACACCTCTATACCTAGAGATTAAACACAACCTTTGTCTTTCCTTTGCCCTTAAAGGAAATACGTGGATTCCAGAAGAAAATAAATGTACCCTTTTCAGAGCCATTAGGGAGAAAGCCTGAGTTTACAGGCAATGATAACCAGCCCTCAGTGGACTCCATCCTTTCCCCTACTCCAGGCCAAGCAACTCTCTATCCCTGCTGACCTGGCTTTGTCTGCAGATACCATCTACAGACACTAAATATGATGTGGTCATGAAAGAAATGAGATATTAAATCAAATAGAGTTGAGGCTCTGTATCTATGTGTTCCTTAACTGCAAATTCAACTAACTGCAGGTCAAAAATAGTCAAATAAACATATCTATAGTGAGCAAGCATAAACTTTTTTGGTAATTATTTCATAAATATAGTATAACAGTTATTTGCGTAGTAATTGAGAGATGATTTAAAATTTGAAGGAGGATTATGCAGATTTTATGCAAATAGTGTTCATTCAAATCTGGAATTGTGTTAATTCCAATGTTGTTCCTTTGACTAGGATTATTTTTGTTATGGTATGGTCTTTTTCCTTCCATCTAAATTTTAGGACTTATTTTCCTATTTTTTTTTTTAAGAATGAAAATTAGGATTTTTTTTTTTTGTCAGTTGTGGGGCTTGATTTCTGAGCCTGGGTGCTGTCCCTCAGCTCTTCAACTCAAGGACAGCACTCTACTACTTGAGCCACAGCACCACTTCTGGTTTTCTGGTAGTTAATTAGAGATAAGAGTCTCATGAACTTTCCTGCTTTAGCTGGCTTTGAACCCTGATTCTCAGATCTCAGCCTCCTGAGTAGCTAGGATTTCAGGCATGAGCCACTGGCATCCAGCTACAATTAAGATTTTGATTGCACTGAACCTGTAAATTGCTTTTTGCCCTATGGTTACTTTGATATTGATTCTGCCAGTCCATGAGCATGGAAGGTCTTTACATCTTCCAGTGTTACTCAATTTCTTTCTTTAAGGCTTTACAAGTTTTTTTTCTTTGTTATTATAAATTACTGTTTTGTTTTTGTTTTTCTGTGCTGGACCTAGGCTTGAACTCTGGGCCTGGGCGCTGTCCCTCAGTTCTTCAGCTCAAGGCTAGTGCTCTACCACTTGAGCCACAGCACCATTTCTGGTTTTCTAGTGGTTTTATTGGAGATAAGAGTCTCACAGACTTTCCTGCCCAGGCTGGCTTTTAACTGAGATCCTCAGATCTCAGCCTCCTGAGTAGCTAGGATTATAGGCGTGAGCCACCGGCATCTGGCTCTTTTTAGTGTTTAATTGGACACAATAATCTTACGAACTTTCCTGCCCAGGCTAGCTTTGAACTGCTATCCACAGATCTTAGCCTCCTGAGTCATTAGGTTTACAGGCATGAGCCACTGGCACCCAGTGGTTTTATAGTTTTCATAGTAGAGGTCTTTCCTTTCTTCAATAAAATTTATATGTAGGTGATTTATTTTTTGAGGATATTGTGAATATAATTGGCTTTTTTCTTGGCTTTTTTTCTCAGCATATTCCTATTGGCACTCAGAAAAACTATGACTTTTGAGTGTTGATTTTATATCATTATACATTGCTGAAACTGTCTATCGGATCTATGTTTTTCGGTGGAATCCCTAGGGTGTTTAAGTATAGGATCATGTCATCTGCAAAGAGGGATAATTTGACTTATCCCTTCTCTATTTCAATCCCTTTCATTTCTTTTGTCTTATTGCTCTAGCTAATAATTCTAGTACTTTATGAGTTAAAAGGCAGAGAGTGGACATTCTTATTCCTGACTTTAACAGAAATGATTTATTTTTTCTCTCTTTAGTATGATGTTGACTATATTGTCATATGTAGCATTTAACTTCAGATACACTCCTCTTATGCCTAATTTTTTTCAGGTATTTTATCATCAAATGATATTGAATTGTATCAAAGCCTTTTTCTATGTCAACTGAGATGACTATGTATATTATTGATTATGTGCATTGAATGTACTGAACTATTCTTGCATCCTGGCATCCTGGGGATTAACCAACTTGGTATTTCTTGCCCTTAAGTCTAATGGAGAAAAGTTTGAGGAGTATTGGTGCTAGTTATTCTTTAAAAGTCTGAAAGAATTTGGCAGTGAAACAATTAGGTTTTGGACTTTTTTTTTTGTTGATAGTGGGGCTTGAACTCTAGGCTTGGGTGCTGTCCCTCAGTTCTTCAGCTCAAGGTGAACGCTCTACCACTTGAGCCACAGCACCACTTCCAGTTTTCTAGTGGTTTATTAGAGGTAAGAGTCTTTCAGACTTTTCTACCCGGGCTGGCTTTGAACCGTAACCCTCAGATCTCAGCCTCCTGAGTAGCTACGATTACAGGGGTGAGCGAGCCACTGGTGCCCAGCTGAACATTCTTTTTTTTTTTGTAAACTACTGTGGCTTCAATTTTAGATTTGCATAAGTGACTTATTTCTCCTTAGTCTACATGCATCTAGAAATATACTCATTTTTTCCCTAGATTTTTCCAGTTTATTTGAATAAATTTTTTCAAAGTGATCTGAATTTTATTGGTATTTATTGTGATGTTTCCTACCACCACCCCCATCCTTTTTTTCTGTTTTTCTCTTGATTTTGGGTCTTTTAGTTCCTTCTTTTTGACCAAATTAGAAAGAGGTTTAACAATATTATTTATTTTTTTCAAAGAATCAGCCTTTTGTTTCATTGATTTTTTTTTTTTTTT